CACTCATCTCTCCACCCTCCCCTGCCCCCCCTTCCCCTCTGGAGTGGTCACTGGTCTCCACATTCCCTCCCTTCGTCATAACCTGCTCTCCATTCGTGAACTCCAACAGGCTGGCATCACTACCCTCTTCCCCGCCTCTGCCACCTACTGTGACCTCCTCCACGGCCCCACTCGCCGCCTCCTTCATCGCCTCCCACTTTGCCCTCGCTCTCGTCAGTACATCCTCCGCACACCCCGCCCCTCCTCATGCCACGTGACCACTCGTGCAGGCACCTCCACTCTCCCCCCTCCCCTCCCTCTAGAGCCACCTTCCTCCAACTCCACCTCCTCCCCATGCTCTTGTCGCGCACTGTCCCACCCCGCTGTTCTCATCCACCACCGCCTTGGTCATATGAACTTTCCCACACTTCGTAAAGCCTCTCCTCCCGCTTGCTTGACGGTCTTCCCCCCACTCTTCCTCCCCTCCCGTCCTCTTCCGCTCCCCCATGCGCCACATGCATTCATGGAAAGCTCAAACAACAGCCTCACCTCAGTCATCCTTCCTTTGCTGCTGCCCCCCTTGACCTCGTCCACATGGACCTCTGGGGCCCTAACCCTTCCCCTTCCCGCCAAGGGCACCGGTACCTGCTTGTCCTAGTCGACGACCACAGCAGGTACTCCTCGGTGTTCCTCCTCCACACGAAGGCCGAGGCCCCTGCTGTCATCGTTACCTGGGCCGAGCAGTGCCGAGTCCACTTTGGTCGCCCCATCCGCCGCCTCCATTCCGACGGCGGTGGTGAGTTTCTCAACCGCACCCTCTCCTCCTACTGCTCAACCCATGGCATCCAGCAGACTCATACCCTTCCCCACTCCCCTCAGCAGAACGGTGTTGCTGAGAGTCGCATTCGTGAGATCACCAAGACGGCCCGCTGCCTCCTCACTCATGCCTCCACGCCCCCTTCTCTTTGGGGCTATGCCCTTGTCCATGCTGCTCTCCTTACTAATCTTTACCCACATCCTCAACGCCAGTCTGTCACTCCCACTGAGCTCTGGGCTAGCACCAAGCCAGATGCTGCCATTCTCCGTATCTGGGGTTGCAAGGCATATGTCCTCATCCCCCCACCTGACCGCTCTCGGCAGGCAGGAAAGCTCGCCTCCAAGGCCATTGAGTGTGTCTACCTTGGCCACGCTCGCTCTGCCCCTGGTTACCTCTTCCTTCACCCGTCCTCAGGCCGCCTCCTACAGAGCCGTGACGTGGTGTTCGATGAGAGCATCCCGTTCTATCATTCTGTTCCGCCTTCCGACCCCCTTCCTCCTCTCTCCCGCCCCCTCACCTGGGCTGATGCTGTCATTCCCCCACTCCTTCCCCAGGCTCCCCTCCTTCCTCCAAATCCTGCTCCTCCCCCTCCTCCTTCCTCAGGTGACATTTACGACCCAGCTGTCCCTGACTCCCCTGCTCACTCTGCCTCATCGCACCAGCAGCAGCAGCAGCAGCAGCAGTAGCAGCAGCAGCAGCAGCAGCAGCAGCAGCAGCAGCAGCAGCAGCAGAAGGAGCAGCAGCAGCAGCAGGTGCAGCAGCAGCAGCGGATGGAGCAGCAGCAGCAGCAGCAGCAGCAACCGCAGGCAGTGCAGCAACAGCAGCCGCAGCAGCAGGAGAGCAGCAGCAGCAGCAGCAGCAGCACCAGCAGCAGCCACAGCAGCAGCAGCAGCCACTGCAGCAACCTCATCGGCATCGCCGCACCACCTCTCCGTTCATCCTCCCACGCATCCACACTCGCTCTCACGGCCACTCATAGGCCATCCATGGGGTTGGCCAACACCACCCCCACCCTCCCTTCCCTTCATTGAGGACTCCCATGAGGAGCTCATTGGCGTTCAGCAACAAACACCTTCCCTCACGCCTCTCTACCCGGGCTTCCTTGGCCTCCTCATCCTTGGCATCGCTACCCGCTCCCACCAGATTCACTCCGTCCAACTTCCTTGAGGCCATCACCTGCCCCGATGCTGCCAAGTGGATCCAGGCTATCTTTGCTGAATGCGAGGCCTTCATCCGCAATGCCTCATTCGTTAACATTGTCCCCTCTCCTGACGACGTCATTGTTGAAGGCCTCTGGGTGTTCCGAGTGAAGCAGCTGCCGGGTGAGGAGCCGGTCTACAAGGCCCGGTATTGTGCCAAGGGCTTCACCCAAACCCATGGCATCGACTACTGGGAGACATTCTCTCCCACTGCCAAGCTCCCAACTCTCCGGGCCATCCTCGACTATGCTGTTCGCATTGGCATGGAGATTGCCTCCATGGATGTCTCCAACGCCTTCCTGCAAGGCGAGCTCCAGGAGCGGGTCCTCTTGCGGCGGCCTCCAGGCTTTCATGCTGCCTTCCCTGCCAACACAGTCTGGGAGCTGCGCCGCCCCGGTTTATGGCCTCAAGCAGGCTCCTCGCGAGTGGCACAACAAGCTGGCCGCCACTCTGCAGTCCTTGGGGTTCCATGCCTCTCAGTCTGATGCCAGCCTTTTCCTTCGCTCCTCTCCCACCCGCTTCTTCATCCTGGTGTATGTCGACGACATGATCCTGTTCGCTGACGATGCTGCCGCCATGCAGCAAGTGAAGGACGCCCTGCATGCGCGCCTCAAGTGCAAGGACCTGGGTGAGCTCAAGCACTATCTGGGCATGACCATCACCCGGGACCGCACATCGCGCACCATTACCCTCTCTCAGTCCTTCTACATCGACCAAGTCTTGCAGCGGTTCGACATGGCGCAGGCCAAGCCGGTTACCACTCCCCTGCAGACCGACCACCAGCTTGCCCCTCCTCCTGCTCCCTCCTCCTCTGACCATCCTTACGCTGAGCTCGTCGGCTCGCTGATGTACGCTATGATGTGCACCCGCCCCGACCTTGCCTACCCCATCAGTGTTCTTGCTCGATTCGTCGGGTACCGGTCGCCACACTGATGAGCACTGGGCTGCAGCGAAGCGGGTCCTCCGCTACCTCCGTGGTACCAAGGACTATGTCCTCACCCTCGGAGGCTCTTCTCCTCCCCTCCTCTCTGGCTTCAGTGACTCCTCCTGGGCTGACTCCCAGCCGGATCGCCGTTCCTCTCAAGGCTACGGCTTCACCCTTGGCAGCGGCCTCATCAGCTGGCGCTCCACTCGCTCCTCCTCCATCGCCCTCTCATCCTGCGAGGCTGAGCTCTATGCTTGCACCATGGCCGCTCAGGAGGCTCGCTGGCTCACCTTCCTCCTTGCTGAGATCGGTGCTCCTCAGCGCTGTCCCACCCTCTGGTGCGACAACGCCAGCACCATCCATCTCACAAAGGACCCTGTCTTCCATGGCCGCTCCAAGCACATTGAACTCCGCTACTTCTTCGTTCGAGAGTTGGTCCAGCAAGGTCACTTGGTGGTCCGCAAGATCGCTGCAGAGGCCAACTTGGCCGACATCTTCACCAAGGCCCTCCCGAAGACCGCGCACTCTGCCCTCCTCCGCCTTCTCGGCCTTGGGCCCCGCCCCCCTTCCTGATTCTGGGGTTGTACCCTACATATACACTAGCTTTGCATGCTATGGGGTTGTGTTAGAATATACCATGCTATGCTAGTTGTGTATATTGTGTTTACATCCCTAGTTGGGTGTACACCTGTGTTGGGGTGTCAATCCAACCCAATTGTGGTTGGAGCCCCCAAACACAAGGACCACAATTGTGGGGGCACCACAAGTGGGTTGGCTAAACCACTGGTGGTACACCACACTTGGACCACCTCCAACTGGTGGTCAACCACATTTGGAAGGAGCCTCCCTCCCTTGTGATTGGTCCTAACCCCCCCTTCCCTTCCAACCTTCCCTTCCTAGCTCATCTCTCTCTTCCTATGTAATGCCTTTCCTTCATCAATAAACTGAACCTTTCTGTTTCTAACACAGAGGGCATCATCCAAACGTTCACCCTGCCGGACACCCCGCAGAAGAATGGGATCGCTGAGCGACGCATCGGTCTAGTCATGGAGGTGGCTCGTACCTCCATGATCCATGCTGGTGCACCCCATTTTCTGTGGCCGTTCGCTGTTCGCTACGTCGCCCACCAGCTTAACCTGTGGCCTCACCCCCAGTGGCCGCAGGATTCGCCGACCCTTCTCTGGACCGGGTCCCCTGGTAACGCGTCAGCGTTCCACGTCTGGGGCTGCCTTGCTCACGTTCGTGCCTCCGGCACAGACAAGCTCACTGCCCGCACCATCCCTTGTGTCTTCCTCGGTTTCCCCTTCGACTCGTCTGATTGGCACTTCTACCACCCACCGTCTCAGCATTTCTTTCACTCTCGCGACGTCACCTTTGACGAGTTTGTCTCCTTCTACCACCGCTTTCCCCATCGTGGTCCCCCCATTTCTCCCCCCTTATTCCTGGTCCCCCCTCCCCCGGTCGCCCCTGATTCCCCACCTCCCTGCCCTGCCTCGTCTGGTGTGTGTCACGTTACCCCCCTCCTCTCGGTTGTCCCGGTTGAGGAGTCTGCTGAATCTCGTAGCCCTGCAGCGCAGTCTTTGCCGCCTGCCCCCTTCTCAGTGTTTCCTCCTCCGCCTTCGCAGCCGCAGTCGTCGTCGCAGCTGTAGCCGCCATTGCCGCCGCAGCCGTTGTTGTCACCACCGCAGCAGCAGTTTGTGTCCTCTGGGGGTGCTGGCGCTGAGGAGGGTGCTCGTCCTAGGGCTTCTGTCGTGGCGTATCCCTGTGGGCCTTGAGGTGTTGCCGGTGCTGAGGGGGTCTCTGATACTGGGGATGTTCCTTCTGGGGGTGCTGGAGTGGAGTGTTCCGGAGGTAGCCGTGGAGCAGCTGGCGGTACCGGTGTTGGCGTTGTTCAGCCGCCGCAGCAGCGGTCGCCACCGGTGTCCGCCCTCTGCCTGCTCAGCCTTCCCTCCCCTGACCGCACGCCTGCGCCTCTCTTACAGTATCCTCCTCTTCCTGTCTACGGCCCTGTGTTCCCTCCTCCGGACTCCTCTCCGGCTCGTATTCCCCCTCGTTCCCCTCTTGTGTCTCCACCTCTGTCTCCCGACCCGACGCCCCCGTCGCACGTCAGGGCTCGCCGCCCCTCTCGTGCGCGTCCGGTCTCACCTGTTTTGCGTTCTCACCCTATGTTGCTTCGTTCCCACGTGTCTCGTCCTCCCCTCCTGCCGTCGCCTCCTCCGTCCTCTCTTGCTGTCGCGCCTCCCCCTCAGACTGACTACCTTCGTACCACTCGTCCGCTTGTTTCTCTGGTCCTTGCCTCTCTCGTTACCAACCCGTCTATTCCTGTTTCGTCTCTTGACGCCCTTGTCGCTGCTGTCGCTGACTTCGCCTCTACCCGTCGCCTTGACTATGCCACCGCTCTGGTCTCTGACCCTGCGCGTCCTCCGTCCGTCGGGGGTGCTCCTGCCCTCGACAATAACGTCTTGGAGGACCGACAGTACGAGCTTGCTTTCCTGTCCGAGGCTGCTCCCCATCTCTCCTCCATCCTACTAGTCCCTGAGGGTGACTCAAACGCTTTCGACATCCCGACCCCTCGCACCTACGCTAAGGCCACCTCGGGACCCTGGGCTTCTCAGTGGATAGCTGCATGGAGCAGGAGATGGCATCTTGGAGGTCCACCGGCACCTACGTCGATGAAGTTCCCCCGCCTAGGGTGAACGTAATCGATGGCCGCTGGCTCTTCAAGGTGAAGCGCCCCCCTGGAGAGCCTCCTGTGTTCAAGGCACGCTACGTGGCTAGAGGCTTCAGTCAGCGAGAGGGGGTGGACTTCTCCCAGACCTTCGCACCTGTGAGAGTACGACCCCGTTACACCACTTGTCCCTTTTTCTACTTCCTTCCCTTTTTGATTCCTCTTTTTATCTCTCCTCATTTTGTTTCCTATTCTCCATTTTCCATTAACCTTTGGTTTATCCTGCTACTATAATTATATCACCGACCAGGCTTGGGATGTACTGGTGCGCTATATCTAGCGTAATCCTGCCGTAATCCCTTAAAGCCAATAGCTTCGCGTGGCTATACGCAGGGTGATTCTATCATCTAGAAGGGTCTATTCCCGTTGGATAGGATAAACCTGGTTACCTGATGTACTCAGGAAGTATAAAAGCGCCTTGTACTGATTGATAGTGCAATCTTTTCTCGAGTCATTCGATCCTGTAACACTTGGTAATCAGAGCTTTTCTCACTCGGCCGCGCTCAACAAAGTAGCAGCAGCTGGAAAACTTGCCTCGAAAAACCGCCAAGGGCGACCAATTCGACGCCGATTCTGCTAAGCACCAGCTCCGCGTTTTTTCAAATCACGCCCCCCGCGCATGTTTTGAACAAGATGGCAACCTTCGACAATGCCGAGGTTACCCAGCAGCTCTTCGCGCGCATCGCAGCTCTTCAGGAGGAGATGCGAGCGGATCGCGAAGCGTGGCGAAACGAGTTCGAGCGAGAAACTCGTCTCGCCGGAGCATAGCACGATCCGACAACGGTGATGACGCAGCAGTCGCAGCAGTTTCTCGAGGCTCCGAAACCGTGCCCACCTGAGCCGTTCGATCCGAGCGATCGAAACTCCGACGCACGCAGATGGATCGCCGGGATGGAGATCTACTTCGCAGCCGTGGGATGGAGCTCGCCAGTCTGGGACGGACAATACGTACGACTCGCGGCAACGCTGATGCGAGGGCCGGCACTCGAGTGGATTGGCGGCAACAGCACCTTCATCCACGGTGAAGCCACGTGGCAGCAGTTCCGCACCGACCTGCTGAAACGTTTCGAGCCGATAAATTCGGGTTTCCTTGCCCGGGAAAAAATTCATCGCTATCGACAGTTCGGGAGTGTAGCGCAGTACACGCAGGAGATGGAAGAATTTTATAACCGAATTCCCGACCTGACTGAAGGGGAAAAATTACAGTCGTACCTCGCCGGGCTGAAGACCGAAGTCAAACGACAAGTAGCAGCGTCAAACTACGCGAGCTATAAAAACGTCGTTTCGGCAGCGGAGCGTCAAACAAAGTAAAAGCCGCACGCGCAGAGTATCGGGCATGCAACAATGGCGGAATTTCTTTGGCAAATCAGAAGACAAAAAACGGGAGTCGCCAGTGATCGCGGATCTAGCTGGCGAAAAAGAAAAGATCCGAAAACGGCCGCGGGATTCTGGGAAAATCAATTTCGACGAAGCTGATTCGACGCGAGAAGGAGGAAATGATGGGGGAAAATCTCCACCCCACGACCAGTCTTCGCCAGGGAAAATCGCCGAGGAAAAATACGACTCCGCGAAAAAAGACTCTGCCGAGACGGGGAAACTCCTTGAAGACCCAAGAAATTATAAGGATTTGTTAAAGTTCCCTTATAAAGATGCTTTAATGAAAACTTGTAATTCTCAAGGGGCTAGAGCCTTGGAGAAAATTTGGGAAGGACTCCAAAAGAAGCAGAAAGCTGTGGAGATTATACCGGTACCGGACAACTTGGGGAAAAAATTGAGGAGTGTGGAAAGAAGCCGACCTTTCCACGGAGTCAACGTCCTCTCCCGACACCAGCCCACAACGACTACCCGTTCCCCAGGGAAGACGTCGGTGGAGCTGAAGCAGCTCAAGAGGAAGCTGGGGGTCTACAAGAAGCTGCACAAACCCCGAACGCCTCCTCCGGATGCATCCATTTCTTCGGCATCAATGACGCGCACAGTCGTCAAGGAAACTCCGGGCCCTGGAGAGGAGCCGTTCTCCAAGCAGCCTCGGCTAGCTGCCAGCTCAGGATTAGATAGCAACACAAAGGTGTGTAAAGAATATTGGGATGTACCCTATGACCCAATAAATGAAACCATCTTTGGGTACTCCGAGCAACGCCTGCCCCTCGTGCTCGAGGTCATCTGCAAAGGACGACGCCTCTAAGCACTCGTGGACAGCGGAGCATCACACACCGTCTGCGACAAGGCAGTAATCGACCGACTTCGGGAAGAGTACAAGCCTTCAGGATTCTCTGCAACGATGGTGGACGGAAGCAAGCTACTAGTACACGGCGAAGCAGTGCTACACCTACAAATCGGACCACTGCGCTGGAGACCTGCACTCCCTATCACCAACATCAAAGGGCTTGACTTGATCTTCGGACGAGACTTCCTAAAAAGATTCAACCCCGAGATCAACTAGGTGAACCGCACCGCAAACATCTACAACAATGGACGGAGAGTACAGCTACCCAACTGGGACGATACAGGAGATATCCCAGTGGAGACACTCGCACGATTCGAGAAGGACGTGAAGCGAACCGACACCGGGTTCCCGGCGATAGCAACAGAGGTGGAGAACGACAGCGAAGAGACCTCGGAACCTCCGAGAAAGATCAAGGAATTATTGAAGGAGTTCCAAGACATTCTTCCTGACGATCTTCCGAACGAGCTACTGCCATACCGAACGCATCAACACGAGATCGTGGAGGAACCGGGTTCGAAGCCGGCCTTCCGAGCACCATATCGGCTCAGCCCTACGGAGCTGACCGACATGAAAAAACAGATCGAGTATCTCCTAGCCAAAGGACTCATCCGACCATCCACTTCGCCATACGGTGGCCCAGTACTCTTCACACCGAAACCGGACGGAAGCCTGCGCATGTGCATCGACTACCGAGCTCTTAACAAGCAGACCATCAAGAATAAATACCCAATACCGCGAATCAATGACCTGCTTGACCAGCTTCGGGGAGCTACGGTATTTTCCAAACTGGATCTACGGTCCGGATACTGGCAGATACGGATGGCGGACAACTCTATCCACAAAACTGCTTTCCGAACTCGGTATGGATCGTACGAGTATTTGGTAATGCCGTTCGGACTCACCAACGCACCGGCAACGTTCCAAGCCGAAATGAACCACATTCTACGACCACTTTTGGACGAGTGCGTGGTGGTGTACCTGGACAACATCCTCATCTACTCGCGTGACATGAAGCAGCACGTCGAACACCTGCGACGCGTCTTCGAAACTCTTCGACGAGAACGATTCTACGTCAAACTGTCCAAGAGCGAATTCGCCCTTGAGAAGGTCCAGTTCCTAGGACACATGGTGAGCGCTTAAGGAGTTCACGTCGACCCCAAGAAAATCGAAGCCGTACGTACGTGGAAGACACCCGAGAACGTGAAGGAGTTGCAGCAGTTCCTAGGCTTCGCTAATTACTACAACAGGTTCGTGCCACAGTATGCGAAACTCGCAGCACCACTCACGAATCTGCTGAAGAAGAACACGCCCTACAAATGGGAGCCGAAGCACCAGGAAGCCATGGAGCAGCTGAAAGAAGCACTCACGTCCGCACCAGTACTCACCTTGGCAGATCCCGAACACGACTACGTCATCAAAGCTGACGCCAGCGACCAGGCAGTGGGAGCAATCTTGATGCAAGACCTGGGGAATGGACTGCAACCAATTGCCTACCTAAGTAAGAAACTACATGGGGCAGAACTAAACTACCCGATACACGACAAAGAGGCCCTTGCCATCGTCATCGCCTTCAAAGTGTGGAGATGTTATCTCGAAGAACGAAGAACAACCGTCTACACCGACCACAGCAGCCTGAAATACTTGAAGACACAACCCAACCTTTCCATGCGGCAGGTCCGGTGGATCGACTTCCTCGAGACACACTTCCACTACGACATCGTGTACAAGCCCGGCCACAAAAACAAAGCAGACGCTCTCAGCCGGCCTGCACACGTTGCCGCTATTCAGGTCGAGGGATGAATCCACTACTCAAGGGACTCTTCACACACGGGTATGCCATCGACCCCGAAATTCCCTTGGCAGAAAAGCGACATCTGCTACAGTGGGACAGTGACATCGCGTACCAGAAAGGATCAACAAAAATCTGGGTACCCAATTACCCTCCTTTGCGCCAGTTACTACTCGAAGAATACCACGACGTCCTCTACGCCGGAAACTTCGGTAGCAACAAGACGCTGATCAGTATTGCAAAACGCTACTACTGGCCCCACATGGCAGAGGATGTTCAGAAGTTTGTCACCTCGTGTGATACATGTCAGCGGATGAAGAGCAGCAAGCAGAAAAAGGCGGGACTATTGCAGCCTCTTCCTGTCCCAGAACAGCCATGGCAAGTGGTTAGCCTGGACTTCATCACCGGGTTACCACCTACCACCAGCGGTCATGACGCAATCCTTGTCGTCATCGACAAATTCTCCAAAATGGGACACTTCATCCCGACACACACGACAGCACGCACTGAAGAAACAGCACAACTCTTCGTTCGATACATCATCTCACAGCATGGCATTCCAACCACACTCATCTCCGACCGAGTCCCCAAGTTCACCAGCAAGTTCTGGAAGGAACTTATGTCTCTCCTCGGGACCAAACTCGCCATGTCATCCGCTTACCATCCGCAGACAGACGGACAGACCGAGCGCCTCAACCAGATTGTTGAGCAACTCCTCCGTGCAGCCTGCAAAGACGACATCTCCAAATGGGACTTGTATCTGCCCGTCCTGGAGTTTGCCTACAACAATGCCACTCACGCCGCTACTGGACAGACGCCGTTCTTCCTCTGTTACGGACGCCACCCACTCACACCACAGAAACCGACAACATCCGCTACAGTCCAACCCCCACATGATTTCATCACAACCATGCATCAGCTTTGGGATCGGACCCACAAGCGCCTCCTCGACATTCAGCAGCAACAGAAGCGCCAAGCCGATCGCCATCGCAATGACCACACCATTACCGTGGGAGACCAGGTGCTCCTTGACACCCGCAACCTTGACATCAGCCATCTCCCATCGAAACTTCGACCTCGCTTCTGCGGGCCTTTTCTCGTTGAAGCACAGATCACTCCTGTTACCTTCTGCTTACGCCTGCCAGCTACCTGGAAGATTCACAACGCCTTCCATGTCCAACTTCTGAAGCCCTATCGGGATCCGAACACGATCTTCGTCGGACGCCAACCGCCGCCCATCCTCATCCAGGATGAACCCGAGTACGAGGTCGAGTCCGTGCTTGCACACCGCCGTCGTCGGAATGGCACCGTGGAGCTTCTCATCCGTTGGAAGGGTTATGATCCTTCTGAGGATAGCTGGGTATTTGAGACCAACATGGGTAACGCCCGTCGTCCTCTGCATGACTACCTTGTCAAGCAGGGTGTTACTTCTACCACCCAGCTTTGACGCGGGGAAGTGTGAGAGTACGACCCCGTTACACCATTTGTCCCTTTTTCTACTTCCTTCCTATTTTTATTCCTCTTTTTATGTCTCCTCATTTGGTTTCCTATTCTCCATTTTCCATTAACCTTTGGTTGATCCTGCTATTATAATTATATCATCGACCAGGCTTGGGATGTACTGGTGCGCTATATCTAGCGTAATCCTGCCGTAATCCCTTAAAGCCAATAGCCTCGCGTGGCTGTACGCAAGGTGATTCTATCTTCTAGAAGGGTCTATTCCCTGTGGATAGGATAAACCTGGTTACCTGATGTACTCAGGAAGTACAAAAGCGCCTTGTACTGATTGATAGTGCAATCTTTCCTCGAGTCATTCGATCTTGTGACACTCTTCAAGTGAAGATAAGCCACCAAGAGTGTCTGGAAGCGCCGGGCATGCTATGCCATGTATAAACAGCTTCTCTAGCACGCCAAGGCAGCCAAGCTCATCGGGAAAACCGTTCAAATCCTCACAATCAGACAGCTCCAGCTCTTCTAAGCAGGATAGCTTATCTATCTCCTTCAGCAACTGCTTCAAGTTTTGGCAATAGAGGTGGAGTTTCCGTAGTGTTCCCAGCCCGGACAAAGATTATTGGAGGCCCCCAATCAAGCGGCAACTTCTCAGCTCTAAAATTCCAATGCTGTCAGCTGCCCCAAATCGTTTGGAAGGAAGACATGATTCTAGCTGCGGCTGAAGTGATTAAACATTATGCTTAGTGTGCAAAGGGGGGACAGTCGAGCAAAGGCAGGAGGCAGAAAGAGAATCGGAAGGTTGCTGAGGCGGAGCTCTATGAGGGAGGTGGGACATGTGATGGAGGAGGGAAGGGTGGGGCTGTGACACTCCGATCCTTCTGAACGATCAGCAAGTAGGTAGAGGGAGTGGAGGGATGGGGCAAGGAGAGACAGGGAGTCCGAGGGGCGGTGGAAGGAGCCAAGGAGGGTGAGTGAGCAGAGGTTACTAAGCTGGCCTAAGCCAATGGGGAGGCGGGTGGCAGGGCCAAGTCTTGTGATGGAAAGGTATGTGAGCGAGTGAAGAGAGGTACCCAGCGTAATCAGACATGCAGGTGCCATAGACTAGGGCTGAGTGGTGTGCTCGGTGCAGTGGTGACAGCGAGACCAGCATCTAGATTGTCGTCACTCAACTCCTCTATGTCACTTTCCGCGGGCGGCTCCAGCCACATGACACCCCCCACTTTTGCATAGGATAGGAATGGCAGGGTGAAGAAGGAATCGGGAAAGGAATCACCGCCTTCGACACCTGACAGCTCCACCTGCTCGAGTGACGTCAGTCCGCTTAACGACTCCAGTGATACGCCATCTCCCCCGCAGTCAATAGCCAAGTGTCGCAGGGCGAAGGCCCGTCCCAGGGCAACTGGCAGCGGCTCAAGTCTGGAACAGCAGGTGATGGTGAGGCGTGCGAGGGACTCGAGGAACAAATGTTTCAAGCTGAACGTACTATATGAACGTAACCTCTTCAAGTCTCATCCACTGGTGGTAGTTGTCTGGTAATAATAAGTTGAAAGATCGTAGCTCCAGGCGCCAATGACGCAGCACGCCTATGCTATTTGGAAAACGATCCACTTGCAATGGGCCTTTGGCGTGAAGAGATGTGAGGGACGAGAGCTCGCCAATGGAATCGGGCAGACGCTGCAGCTCTTTACACCCTGAAAACGTGAGGTGGGAAAAAAAAATCAGCTGCCCGAAGGCTTCTGGCAGCTGCTCCAGCAACGGGCAGCACAAGTAAAGCTCTTGGAGCATCGACAGCTGGCAGATTCCGTCAGGCAGCACGCGGAGAGCTGTGAGGTTCAGCCAGAGCACACGCAACGACGACAAGCACGCGATTGCAGTCGGAAGTGCTGTCATCTGGCCGAGACAGTTGGACAGCGTCAGCTCCTCCAGCCGCGGTGCCATGCCGTTAAAGAACGCGTCCCACGCTCGGAGGCTGATTCTGAAACAAGCCGGTCCAATGAATCGCGGCTCGCACATGCTCAAGCAGGTAATCCAAGGGCAGGTGGAAAAAAGGTGGGCAAGGAAGGTGTCGTTGTGAATATCCACCGCATTCTCCGCAAGGGAAAGAGGTGTGATGCTCGACGTGTGAAGCAGGGTTCGGAAGAGCGCGGGCAGGGAGAACACGGGGGCGGAGAGCGCCAGAGCAACATCTCCGTGGAAGCAAAGTGAGTTCGGCTTTATGCCAGTGCTGATGTGGAAAGTCGCGATCGACGACAACCATCATTTGCAAACGACCGCGACGCTAGTGAACGTGTTGAACTGCTCGCTAGCTTTAACACCTAACACAACGTTACGAGCATTGGCGTCCTCAGCCGCAGTTGCAGTGGCCAGCGAGAGGACCTTCGCTAAGAGCTCCTTGGGGCAAAACGCTGACGGGAGCCACGTCTACCAAAGGCTTCGAAGCTGGCAGGGAAGCTAAAACCTCCATGGTATTTCTATCGCTGAATGCACGACGCACTCTGAGCAACGCCTAGCCCCTCTGCTTCAAGACAACTAGGACGATTCGTCGATGGTTTGGGCAAGGAGACTCCACTGCCAGCTTCAAGGGCAGGACTAGCTGATGAGAATGGCCTTGCCTCGCCTGGCCAGATTTCATGCTACGAAGTAAAGAGGATTGAGGTGAACCCTCCCTCTCCGTGCTGTCCTAGCCACGTGGCATGAACGGATGGTGGGCAATACAGGCGATCAGCTTAAATTCTGAGTGGGTAGTGTTGTTGAGGTGCATGAATAGGAGAATTCTGGATTATTCAGTTGTAGATGATTTTGTGGAGTAGAGCTTCTCTACTTTTCTGGACCACGCTGCTGAAACGTCTCCCGAACTACATCGAACCTTCCACTAAAATCTAATTGGTTGCGGAAGGTACTCCATTTCGCCAACTCCCCAATTCCATCATTGACATTTCTCCCCCTCGCTGCTGATTTTGTAAAGGTGTAAGGGTTTCACGAATCCTTACTGTGTTTCGCCACAGCGAGTACCGCGAACAGTCTGCGTCCGCAGCCTCGGCCCTCAAGTCTTGCGTCAAACCACCCCCCCCGATCTAATTGGCCCCAAACCTGTTACCGAGGCGCCCCGAACCCAATTTGACCCCATCACCCTCGGGACTCTCGAGCCCTTGATTGGTCCAACTCTCGAGGTTCAACCTGGTCAACTAGTACTATATAAGCCCTAGGACTAATTTGTATTGAATGAACTGTAGTCATGCTCCCCTATAGAATTATGCACTATACTCCGATTTATATTTCATAATAGCTGGTATCAGAGCCACGATTCTGCCCATCTAGATTCCGATAGGGGAGCAGTCTCTATCGGGGAAGGGGGCGGGAGGATGCTGGTGGCATAGCGATTCTGATGCCGGTGGATCCTGTCCGATGGACAAGTGGGAATAGCTGGTCCTCCCATTCCCTGGGCGTAGATGGAATTATTTTCCGTCGAGAGACTGGCGACGTTTTCGCCGTGTTTTTCGGGTATGTTCGCTAGTGCTCCGTTTTTTTTTTAGGTTCCGATGGAGTATACGATTGGCTTCCGAAAATTGTAATGAGTCGTCAGGAGAGGACAAGTGCACGGGAATCCTCGGGCGGCCGGGTGATGGTCGTCAGGGACGCACCAATGGGCAAAAATGGTGGGACGTACGGCGATGTATGTCTATCATGCCATGTAGCTGCATGGTGAAGTGCAGTTGCGTCGCTGGCGTCAGCGTTTCCGGCAGGCTAGTTGCAGGAGATGGACGGGACTTCCGCGACTAATTCGGCAAAAGGCGGCTGCGATTATTTCATACTGCCACGATCGCACAGTAATACGAGTGGGTGAGTTAGACAGCAGTAGCACGAGGCCAACTACCTCTGCGCTGTTCTGCATGGACTATCTCATTTGGAATAATGAAGCTGTTCTTGAAGATTTTCAGTGAGGGTGACTTCATAAGTTAGGGAGGCGTTTTTATGGAGCAACGTTCATTCCCCCATGATCAACGGAAACGGAGGCCACCACCTAAGGGTGTATATCAAGTGTTTTCCACCGGGGCACCGCAAGTGTCAAATCGTCAAGAGCTAAAGCCGTTGAAGTAAAATGATTGGAACAAGCTGGGTTTGAGTTAAACGTCAGGCAGCAACGGATCCCCTGCTGACGGAGCTTCGTCGCCCAAATATCACCATTCCCACCAAGTTCTAGTGTCGATTATGGGTCGTCCACACTTGGCGAAAGGGGAGTGAACCTGCAATCTACACTGTGCTGAGGGGTGTCCCATAAAATTCAGGAGTTACTGTTGCAGTGGAGCTGAGGGTTTTCACCTAGTGCAGCAGACCAAGTTTCTGACTTTTGCGGGTGTAGGGTTCCGAGTGTCTCACCCTGTCACGTTGGGAGGCAGAAGGTGTCCAGCGGTCAAGCGGGGACTACTTTAGTCCAGCTGACTTTGTCGTGTGCCCTCCATGCCTGTGACAATGCAGATTTTTGAGGAGTTAGTTAAGAAGTAGCAGCTAAGCGGTTTTGGGTAACTTGCAGCAACCGCGAGATGGGTGAACGGCCAGCTGGTCAGGGGTACCAGAGTTTATTAAGAGTTTGGTTACAGTTGGAGGAGTTCGACACTGTTCCCAAAGTTTTCAGAGTGTGGCTAAGCGGAACGGAGTTGACCCTGATCACGCGGGCTACGTTGACGCGCAATAATATCTAGGACCTATTGTGTTGTCATGGTGGGCGCAATGATGGCTGAATGTCGTCGTGCTGCTAAACGCCTGGTGCCAGATGGGGAATTCTTAAAAAACCAGCGGCGCAGCTGTTAAGCACCTGAAAGTCAGGGGTACCATAGTATTTTATGAGTTTGGGTTACAGCTATGAGGAGATCGACGGCGTATGATGCTCGGCAGCCATGATTGACGGCCGAAGACCCATGCCCAGGCGTTGAACGACGTTTATCCTCAATTAAAGGGTTCAGTTCATGCGTACAGCTGGTGACAGACCAATGGGGATGCAGCTAAAGGACGACGCGTC